ATGTATTTATTCCTGTAACTTTCTGTGAGTTGCTACTATCTGTATTTTACTAATGGGAAACTCATATGGAAAGACTGTGCATCAGATTTTACACATTTGTAGCTATGTAAAGCTCAAATGTGAGGTCCACTGAAACCAGTTACTCTGAAAGTCACATATGGACAAATCACTAGAAATCTGGCTTTATGTGTTTTCAAATTCACCCCAAGATCTAGTACTTTTTTTTTGGCAATGGCTAGCTGCTGGATATTACATAGTTCTTTTAAAGATAGATGAAACAGCTTCGTATTGGCCAGTTTTATTCCCATACCCACAACCTATCTAGTGGGTGCAATTCCTCTAGTTTTCAGTTTCTCATATGCTTTCTCTCCTCCTTGCAGTGTCTTTCCTGAGGCCATGTGGGTCAGGCGGGGTGGGCAGATACACATTGTTCTCATCAGCTGATCTCGGTTTTCTGGTAATATTTTGGCAATGTCAGTTCAAAGTGTGATCTATTGTTTCACCTTTCCCAATTTATACTGTAATGGGTCTGCATATTCAGCTGCTGAAAATAACCTTGGACAATCAAAATATATATGCTTCTTCAAAATACCATCCTGGGAATTAACCTCGCACTTGCTCTTTTCCATGTGTATCCCAAGAGAAACAGGGTGATATGATGTTCTGTGAATTGGATCTTAGCAGTGCATACTGTACCCCATTCCCAATTATAAGCAAGTATTTGTTGGCTTTATAATTTGGAGATGAGATTCACAATAATTGAGAGCCAACACACTCCAAACCACTGCCCTGACTACTGAACAATCTCACCTCTCTCAATCAAAGGAAATAAATTATTCGAGTAGTAGAAAGAGAAATATGTTGGTTGAAAATGTGTTTTCGTGAGTGGATCCTGGATCTGACAATGCAGATGTTGGCAAGAATGAAAGGAATCCCAGTTCAGTTTTGAAAAAGTATATTTTCACAGAGAACATGTCTCTTCTGGGAACCTTTAATTTAATGTACATTGGTTTCCTATTTTAAGAAAACATTTTGCTGTTAAACACTATGCCAGCCAGACTTACATTTTTTAAGCAAAAACTCTTTGTCCTGAAGTATTTTAATGGCCTAAAGAGCAGGAAATTGCCTGTGACATTTCAGTTTTTCCATTCTAAGGGAAAAATAGTCCAAGGTCTAAAAATAGCTCTCTCCTGAAAAACACCCTCCCTCTCATCATTGTAATATACCATAAGCCATGTGACAACAAAGACATTTCTTTCTGAGCCTAGCGTTGGTTTTAATCAGCTAGATCGGCAATTAAGACTCTTTTCATGTAAAACTGCTGACTTGAATAAGAATTTTGTTTACTAACTAAACCCACCTAATTTGATGACTTGCTCTGAAGTACAATGTCTCCAGTTCCTCCCTTTTCTTTTACCTGAACACAAATGATGTTGCTTAGAATTGCATATTCACCTGGGGAGAAAATCTCAGTAGACTTTGCGCTGCTAGCCTGTTTTACTATTGGGCGTTTTCCAGCTTTGTCCACTTTTGAGCATCCCTTTTTGAGAGGAATGTTGAGAGGAATATGTTCATACGTATTTTGGTCTGTGGTCATGAATGGACAAGCGAGAAGACGGCATGCAATAAATAAGGTTTACAAAAAGCATTATGTGGAAGATTAATGCCAAAGAGTATGTTACAGAGGTCAAAGACAGGTGCCTTATCACTATGTCTGGAAACCCAGCAGAACTCAAAGGGAGTCTTGGTATTCAGATCATTCCCCCAGCGTTGAATTCAGACATGTGAGTGAATCACAAGACAGTTGTTTATTGTCAACTCAGAAAAAATAAAGCGAGACTGGTTTATGTGTAGACTGAGGCCAGCGTGGAGACATTCCTAGACAGGGTGGAGCCCGCAAGGCGAGCAGTGCTGTCACTGGGCAGGCAGCAGGTCTCAGTATGCACTGAAGCTGGAGATGGAGCTTCGCGATACGATCTCTTCAGTGGGGAAATTTGCTGAAGAGGTTCTTGCCCCTTGTCTCTTTACCTCAAGGCCCCGACCCCTCACTCCTGTCTGCACGACAGCTTGCTGCCTGTCCTCACACGTGCTACTACAAATGATTGTGGGGCCAGGCTACAGCACAGGTCCCTAAATCAGTCTAGGTTAAAAATAGCTTTCCAAAAAAGTTTTGCATTTTTGCGTTTTCAATCAAAATCATTTCAGCTGCCAGATTTTGCAGACAACCCTAAAAAGACCTGTACAGCACAACTGACATGGTAGCAAACTGACCAACCGAAAGGTAATTTAGTTTCTCAAATTGTAAAACAAGCGTGTCATGAAAATAAACACAAAGAAGCTAGGCTTCCTCGCTGGTCAGGTAAAAGCACAGGAGCTTTACTTTCCTCCAGTGCTAAGAGCTTAATGAACACAAACATTCACCAAATTTAATGAATCCCACAGCCTTGAGGGATCCAAGTCCATTGAAATGGGTCAATTCCATTGAAATCAGTGGAAGCTTTGCCTCTCCCTTGTTTGGAGCTAAGATTTTTTTCCTTCTTGTCTTTTCTTCAGGGAAGGCCTGGGAGTTTTAATATAGTGTTTGACCACAGACTATGTTTTATCAAATATCAAAATATAATGTTGATATAATGGAGTATGTGACTACCAATAGGCTGCTGTACTGGAGACCTAGGAAGTACAGTGGGAAAGGATGCCAAAAGATCCATCTAGGTGATCCCTCTTGTCCTTGGGCAGTCTCACTCATACCTACAGTCTTCACGGCTGTATTTGCCCAAATTTATTTTGACAAAATGTTCTTTTAAACCCCCCCACATCTCCTTAGGTCAGCTATTCCAGTGTTTGGTGGAGGACTTTCCTCCCCATCTACCCTATGTTTGATACGCCACCAGTGTTCCATAGCCACACATCAGCACAGATGAACATAATCCCTGGTGGAAACAGCTGTGGCAGCAACGCAGAAACTTAGCATGTGTCGGATGTCATTTGTTCCCTTTTCTTTTAGCCAGGAAGAATAAATGCAAATATAGTGAAGATAGCTAATACACACAGTTGGGGTTATTGACATTTCTGTGCATATATGAACTCAAAAAAGTTGAAGACAGTTCTTTTCTGTTAAAGTTCAGATTCCTTGCCAGGGAATATTGGGGGTTTATTAAGTGGGGGGGAATGCTGGCGTAAACACATGGATACATCTTTTTTTTTCCCCCTTACAACTACAGTAATATGAAATCTAATATTATTGTAGGCCCTGTGGGAAGAGATAACAGCTCAATTGACTTGCACATGAAACCTACCGACATTGTAAAGGATGTATAGTAGAACTCAAACTAGAAAGAGTATATAAGTAACAAGCTATTAAATTTCTTGCCTTCATTGAAACACCACTTGAAAGTGCTTTACAGCATTGTAAACAGTCAAAAGATAAATCCTTGCAGCAGATGAAAAAATTACCAATGATGAGATAAACTGCTGTTTTGGAAGAGACTGGAAGATGCGAGAGGAAACGAAGGTGCTGTAGAGATTCTGTATAAACAGACAGTACAGCAAAGTCAAGATGGTGTGGAAGATGTGGAGGAAAAACTAGACTTCTAGGACAAGATGAGGTAGTAGCAGCCACAAGCAATCAGACCTGGTTTGCTGGTGTTTTACCTTTTCTTGCAATGTACAAGAATTATTTCATTTTTGTTACATTTTCTTTTATTCTTCCTCTGAATACATTTGGTTTTAGAAAATGGAGGACAATGAAAAGAGTAAAACTAAAATTACTTAGATTCCTGTAGCATTTCTTTAGAAGTGTAATAACTTTTTGAGGAATCTGTTTTCAAGAGATCATCAGTCTTTCAGCACTGTTTATTCATTCCTTCCAACCTCTTTATTTTTCTTTAACTGCCCTTATTGCAGCATTTGTGACGTTTCTCCTTTGTTGTTGTTTATTTTTTAATGGCACTGGCATATGAAATGCCACTTAAGTGACAGATTAATTTCACTGAGCTTTATCTAGCTTAGGCAAAGTTTGCTTGTGTACACCAGAGTTAGCAACTGTAGTTGTTTACAGGCATTACAGTAGGTTAAGAGAAACAGGTTTTTAGGGAGCATGTCATCTCCCAGCTATTCTAGGCATCTGTTTTGGAAAAAAGACTGTCTTTGTCTCTAAATTGACGATAAACAGAACCTGAAGTGACCAGTTTTGGTACAGATGTCTCCATCAGATGAATCGTACCCTGAAAGTTGTACTGAATATTCCTGGTTACTGAGAGCACTGATTTTACTGGCAGTTTTGTAATAACTTGTAGAAGTTGTTTCCGTCTTTTGCAATACCTTTGGATTTGGTGAAGTGTCTGATGAAGAAGCAAACACTTGCAGACTTTTTGGCTCGACCTAAGTGAGGAACTAAGCTCACCTTGCCCACAGGCAAACATGTTGCAACATAAGATGCAAATAGCTTGAAAGAAAAATAGAAGCATTAAAGACTTGTCTCTTTATGTGCCCTCAAGGAAGAGGAGAAACTAGCAACACCTTCATAAGACAATTCAGGGAAGACTCTGACACAACCATGGTGACACTCATATCATTGGTATTAAAAGTCTTGATGTGTCACAAAACATACTTAGCTACAGAAGTAATTAAATAATGGACAAAATAGCTTAGTACCAACAAGGAAACAAGTTCACATTTAATGTATTTTTCACATTTTTCTAATAGGACAGTCAGTTCAGAGTCAACTCTTTGAGCACGGTGAATACCTTGCACGAAAAATAAATTAATCAATAACATTTGTACATAAAAAAGAGGACAACTGGTAAAACTTAACCACAGGTGTTGTTCAACGGCAGTCATCTCAAAGATGAGTAATTCAGCTGGTTCATATACAAAATACTGTGGCTACTATAGACAAAAATCAAATTCTGCAGTGCTTTGATTATAAAGCCCCTTGTGCTGCCATCCTTATCTCTCGACTATGCTCTTGTTCTGAGACAGCTTGGAGGGGATTTATCCTGTCAGCATTTTGTGATAGTGTTTGTGGTCACCGGAAATCTGTACAAGAGAGAAAAAATCCCACTTAGCAGCAGGAGGATGACAGCTACAATCCCGACAGGAATGGCGGCACCGGCTTCCTGTGCCACTGGGCTGGAGGGCATGTAGTAAGAAGGAGGAAAAGCAATGCTCTGGTTGTGTGTTACAGAATAGAAATTCCAGCTCACGGGAATCAGGACGCATAGACCAGCAAATATGTAGAAGCAGCCACCCACCAGGAAGAAACGGGTAATAAGAGCTTTGTGAGGTATTCCCATATAAACATTCCTCAGAGCAAAGATTGTGGCAGTCAGTCCCAGCAAGCCCATGAACATGGCGATCAACAGGAGCCCCTGAGCGGCGTAGATTTCGGCGGGGATGGAGGAGTCATAGCCACTGAATTTATGGCAGAACTGTTCTTTATAGCCAGGTGAGACCTGAAAGTAACTGATGAAGCAGACTTTCCAAATCCCCACCCAGGCAATGCCGGAGGAGATGATGGTGGTGTTGGCCACGTGCCACACTCTCCATTCCACAGTTCCCATTGAAACTGTGCATAGGATCCAGCCTACCGTACCAAGAGCAAAGGCGGCGAGCTGGAGGTGCGAGCTGCTGACCAGGGAGCTCATCCTCCTGAGGTCTTCTGCTCTGTCGCAGACACAATTGCCATGTGAAGTGAGAGAGGCACTGGAAAGAAACAGTATAAGATTACAAAGGCAATTGTTATTTGGGTGAATAGGTGAACCTAATAGTGAAAAAGAAAAAGCAGGAGTGAATGTGTGTACAGAGGGAGGATGGTACTCATCTTTCCCCAGCTGTAATAGGTGGTTGAAGTTTAATGTCGTGGACAAATAACATCTAGGTTTTATTCAGAATATGTCATTGTATCACAAGGAGAAGAATGGGTCTCTGATTAGCTCCCATTACAATCTCCTTTTTACATCCACAACAGGAAAATTCACATCTTTTTCCAAGCTATTTGCTTCCTTGGTAATTAACCATTATGTTCAAAGATCTTCATACGCATTATTTATAATCAGATTACTGGCTAGTAGAAAGTAAATCTGACAAAATCTTCAGGATCCTGGCTGTGCAAGAGATCCTTCAGATCAGCCACAGGAGCCATGCTTCGTGCTTCATGCTTCTCTCTCCTGGCAGCTGTGTTTTCAGTGCAGCAGCCCAACCTGAACAGACTTTTGCTTTTGTGCTGCCCTGTCTGAGAGCTGCTGTGACCAGCCTTGGTCACAAAACACCGTAGTTCAGAGACAAGAGCAAATCCAGGCCACAGAATCTAATACTTTGGCCATTTTTAGATTATTTAACCATGACTATGTTAGCAAGAACACTTGGATTAATCAGAAATACAATGCTCTGCGGAGGGGCTGGAGCCTGGCTGTGCTGCCATTGCTTTCTCACTCTCAAACTTTAACCAAGATTTCTTTAGTGTTTCCCCTTTGCAAATCACACTCATTCATAACCTGTGCAACTTCTCCAGTTCAAATCATCCTAGCACTGCAGTGGAAAAGATTTTAGTCATTTAGCTTAGTAACAGAATTTAGTTTGTTTGTTTGTTTGTTAGGGGTTTTGTTTTGTACATTCTAAGTGCAAATTAGGTGTTTATTCTAATTTAATAAAAATAATCTGATGATCTCCCACGTCTTTCGTACAACCTTCTGAACAACTATAGGAATCAGAGAAGATGTGGCCTTGAATTTATCATGTAGATCTGAAAGGTTCTAGGGGTCTTTTTATTTTATGAGCTATCTAAAATACTTTTAATTCCTGGTTTCATTGAATTCAAGACTGGATAAATACTGCGCACTCTAATAAGAAGGTAGATCTGCAACTATGTGTTGTTACTAAAGCAGTAACTTTTCTATTTACTTAAGCTGACAGAATCAGTTGGTGGTACAACCTAATTGCAAAAATCCATCTGTGGAAATCTTAACTAAAAAATATCTTTTTAACAATGTAGCCTTAAGCAAACACTGTCCATCATCTCATACCAGTGCCTACCGTATACTTACTTCAGTCCTGGAGCTGATGCCACTGACAAGATGATGGGATGGGGTGGTTTTTAATGCAAGCCAAACTCAGCAACATCTGCAGTTCTATCATTTTGGCCTCCCACTTCATCTGTGTATCTCCGAAAGGACTGATTTCCTGTGGGACATATTAATCTTCATTATTGCAAATGTACATTTAATCCTTTCCCGCATGAAGGAAATTGCTCTGGAATAGCCTCCTGTGTTTTATCTACTTAAACAGAAACCAGTTTATAAATGCTTTCTCGATCTGCTACATTATTTACAAAGTGATTATACCCCCTCTGTCTAATTAACAGTTAACCAGCCACACAGCACGTTAGTGGCCCCACAGGGCATTTTCCCGCATGAAGGAAATTGCTCTGGAATAGCCTCCTGTGTTTTATCTACTTAAACAGAAACCAGTTTATAAATGCTTTCTTGATCTGCTACATTATTTACAAAGTGATTATACCCCCTCTGTCTAATTTAACAGTTAACCAGCCACACAGCAAGTTAGTAGCCCCACCAGGGCATTAAGAATGGTTTTCTTTCTGTTCCACCTCAAAACAGCGTTGTTTTTGTACACATCTAGTGATGGAAAGATGATAGACAGGAGAGAGAGTGACCAAAGGAGGTCTGCACTGTCTCCTTTTGCTTATGTTTGATCAGTTGTGCACACAGAGGCCAAGTCTCAATCATATTGAAGTACCATTTTGTGCAGAGCCCGTATTTCTGTAACACTTTTTGTATACATCATAAGTAGTTGTTTAAACAACTTGCTGCTATCAAGGTCATAAAAGATAGGCAAGCCAGCCAATCCGTGTCATTGAGAGCTGCTAAGAGAATGGCATCAGTGTACATCTTCAGAGACTGAATTTACTCACCTGTCTGCTCACAGATTGCATCTATGATTACTGAGCCCTCTATCAAAGCTTCATGTGCTAAGCTACTTCGCGTGATGTCTAGAATTGAATTATAAAACTAAATAATAGGAAAATTCTTTTTTCCTGTGGGATTCACAAAATCCACAGAAGCAGCAAATGCACAGGATGAACGAATTCAAGGCTTACACAAAAATTCTGAAAACGCTGGTGAGTAACCGGCTAACAAAGATGGGCTTTAGATGAGGTACCAAATGTCTAGACACAAAACATTGCTAATGTAGGAAACGATTCATTTTGGCTCATATCTCCATACCCTGACCCCTGTAACTTGCTTGATCTAACCTGGAATCACTGACAAATCAAGAGCAAAATCAAGGTGACAAAGAAATACCTTTGAGGCCGATGATGAAGTAGAATTACAATTCTCATACCTGCCTCTTTTGGAAAATTAGAAGCCTGTACTTAGGACCTCTTGGTGTTAAGATTCAGCAAGAACATAAAGAACAAAATGTCAAGGTGAAATAGTTACAGGAATTTGCTTATCATATGAAAACATGTCAAAATTAAAACAAAGATCTAGTACTCATTCCAGTCTCTATCATTATGAATATTAATAAACACACAGTAGGTTTTACATCAAATGAGACCAGATACATATTGCTTGCCAAAAACAATTGATTTTAAGGGAAGGCATTGGATAACAACATACTTAGTTTCAAGCTTCTGACATAAACCTGGGCATCGCTGGAGGTTGCAGCATCGGGCATCCCATGGGACGAGGGCATCCCACTGCTGCGACCCAGCCGGAGCACCAGCCCAGGTCACGCCATGTGACCGCCTGCCAGCGGGCAAAGAGCACCGGGGGAGCTCGTTTCCCCCTAAATGCAAAGAGACACGTTTATTTTCCAGGACTCCGCTGCGCAAACACATCCAAGTCGGGGGGGAGACTTTTCTCTGGCAGATGCCAAGTAAAACCGGGAATGAGCTGCAGAGGGCGTCTCCCTCCAGGATTTCACCCATCCCGACGGCTCCCTGGCTGTGAGAGGGAAGGGGATGGGAAAGAGAAAAAGGCGAGACGCTGCCGAAGCCTCCCCCCATGCGAGATGAACTCAGCTCCAACACCAGCAGGCCCTTCCTGTCGGTTTCAAAGACAGAGGCATCCCCTTCGGAAAGGAAGACCTGGATCCCCCACTAACTTGTCATTCACATAAAAAAGCGAAGAAATAATTTTCTTTAATGAAACCTTTTGGTCCCTGAGCAAATGCCCTTTCCAGCCTTCTGAGAGAAAAATGTGACACTTCAGTCCCTGCATGTTTCAAGCTATATTGGATAAAATACAGCTCAAAGTCCAGATCATATGGCAGTCTGTGCTAACACAGACAGTATTGGCATAATCTGTTGGTTGGTTTCATGCTTTAGTAATCATATAAGTATTTTTAACTAATTTGATTAGTATAGTAAGATTACCTATGTGCTTTGAATAATACAATGATATAACACGATCACTCTATGGAATTTCCTAAGGCAAACGAACTCAGCATGAATTCAGCCAGCTACAGGAGGTCTTCTGGATAATTAGTTGGTGTTGCTGGCATGTGGCTCTTGATTTGGAAGCTCACTCAGTTTTCAGCATCCAATGTTTGCATGCCAGCTATGCCACGGAATGGAGGTAGCCTGCAAAGGCAATCTTGCCAGGAGGAACGAGCTAGGCCTATGCGGTGTGTATGCCAGTGGATCAAAAAGCACGACTGAAAACACTTTTCACCCAAAGAAGCAAGTCAAGTAGTGGCTATAGTTCTATCTCAGTGCCCCACGATTTCATCATTTTCATTTAAAATTGATTCAGTCCAATCCACAAGCATTCCAGCAGCTTCTGGGGACAGCCTTTGGAAAGTCCAGAAATGAGAGCTAAAAAAGGAGAGCTACTTCTATAAGCTTCTCACCCGATAGTCCCTTGCTATCATTTTATCTCCTAATACGTCTTTCATTTCCTTCCCTTCATGGATGTATTTTTAACTAAACACCCTACCTGAGTAAAAGCAACCTGTAAACTTGCCAGCATGCGATGGAAATTTGAGAGAGAAGAGAGAAGCTAATGGTAAAAGATGATACATGCTAGTGAATTCAGCCAAATACAGAAACGTCAAGGATCCTTTTGTATTTACTGTTTATTTTTATTTAAATCAAGCACTGCACAGTGAGTAGTCTGTTTATAGAAAGTGTGTTGAGCCACTGCTTGTATTCTTGGGACAGAATGAAACAGGATTTTTCCCCTCTTAGCTACAAGAAACAGATGAGGATGCCCAGGAGCTGTGTTGACTTTCCTACAACTGCAAGCTTGCTTCTAGGAGAAAAAATGGAGCAAGCTGCTCTCCCAAATGCCAAGTGTTTCACAGAGGGTTTTTGGGGTCATCTGTGCATGAGGCTTACCTTTAGAAAGACTAAAAAGAAATGCTGTGGTTGGAGAGATAAGAGCCTGTTCTTTGTGGCCACAGTCCCCCCTCCTCGTGTTCTCAGCAGCAAACAGAAATGGAGCTGTGCTTGAAATTTTGTCAGCGCTTCTTTTACTTCCAGTAATTGCTAGTGACAAAAGGCTGGGGCTGTGATACCAGTTCTCAGAGCAGAGAAACCTAAATGGCACCAAATGCATTTCACTCCTGGAATTAATACTTGGTCCTCTGAAAAGCAATTTTACTTCCATTCAGCAGTCCGTACGCA